AAGTTTAACTTCATTTTAACAATGAATTAAATTCAACCCATTCACTGCCAGGAAAATTCAGAGCGTCTTACCTTATGAGCCGTGGTTTTATTTTAGAGAAAACATTAAATTTTGTAAAATATAATGATATTGCTACTGATGTAATATTATAATGGCATGCGCAGTAATTTTTATTAAATAAATAATAATGATAATAATATTAATAATAAAAACTACGAAATAACTCGTAGCTGACGTCACAGAATAAGATTCCTGAGCTGAGTGCCACTTACGAGTAATCTCGTAGTAGATTTTTTTTCAATAAAAATCTTTATGTACGAAAATTGTCTTTTCTTTTTGTTTGGTTTTACAAACTCGTCACCCAATTTCCTCTGGCGATAGTCAGATGTGTAATGTTATTTCAGATTTTCATACAGATGTGTAATGATTCTCACTGGGAAAAACCTTTAAAGCGATGGTAGTTATAAAGAGTTGTATAGTTATAAAAATGGACAGATAAGTAATAATTAGCACAGACCTCTGGAAAACCATGAATTGGTACAAGAAAACCGCTCTACCCTACTTCGAAATCTTTCTGCAAAATGCATACATGTTCTGTACTGCGACCAAAGAAATCGAGGGAATAAAAAGATGAGGATGCGTCAATTTAGGGAATCAGTTACTATGCATTTATTTGATGGTGATGGAAATAATGCAAGAAAAAGCAGCAACTATAATACAAATACAACTAATTTTCATTACTTAGGACATCTTCCTCCCACAGAAAAAGGATGTTTATAAAGTCATGGAGGATGTGCACAAAGGGGAAAAAATTATAGAGACTAGGTATTTTTGTCCATTGAGTCCCAACAATCCAGCACTTTACTTTGATTCTTGCTTTAAAGCTCATCATATACAGAAACAACAATAATTTTTTTTATTTCTGGAATACATTTATATATATATATATATATATATATATATATATATATATATATATATATATATATAGTTATTATTATGTATATGTGTTCTAATAGTCTAAATTAAAATTTCAATAATAAAAATTGATAATTTATATGTTTTTTGCCCTGTATAAATTTTTCTTTCATCCTTTCTTATAATTCCTAACTCAAATGGAAATATGTAATCAATCTAAAATTACAACGCGAGCACTAAATATCTCGTAGCTGGCAATGAATGGGTTAAACAGGAATTTACAGGAACAACACAATTAATGATAACTTTAAACAGATTCCTCGAAATATATAAATACCCACGCTTCACAAAACAATCGTCTCATTATTTATCTCATCTCAATGAATGGACATAATGAAATCTTTTTAAAAAAGGCAGACATCGGTTGAAGGACCTCATTTTATACGTAAGAACGTATGTGCTAGTTCAACTTCACCATGAAGAGGATGTAAATCTAAATATCGTGAAGAAGGGAAATGGTTGAAAAGAAAATCGAATAGATCAAAGGAAGGCGTAGATAAAAATCAAGAGAAAACACTAAGCTTTTTCAACAACGCCTGTGAGTTGGAAAGTAGGTCTAGGACGAAACGGTGTTCTTTGGGAGGGGGTTTGATAGTACAATGACCGACGACCGGAACATCACGATCGAGACCATTAAGCACTTATTCCTCACCACTAAAGCTGAAATAAATTGCTGTAAGGGGATTATACGATACGAAGGTTGCGCAAGAATGATTATATTCTAAGAGGAAAATTGGAGGTCCGCAATCTCGTAATTTTTTCTATTCTTGACAAATTGCGACACGGATGTTGTATGAATATCATTTTGTCAATACTTTTGTACCTTTCACTATATATATGTATAACTTAATTCATTCATATGTTTTTTTTAATTTACTGATAACTTTGGGGATATACGTTTTCCCTTCAATAAATTATTTTAAATAAGATAGTCGAGTAATTGGCTGTGGGGTTGCCCATTCATAGCAGATATATATGTTTTTTATAAGGAAGAAAAAGATTCCTTCTCTCTCTTCTTCTCTTTACTCTCTATCGAATTTTAATCTGAGATATAAATAAATAGAAAAGAGTTTTTTTAAGGAAATGTTTTTTTTATAGCCAGATATTTTGTTAGATTTTCAAATATAAAGTTGTTTAAAATACTTCTACAAACGCTCTATTTGAGTGTGTTTTAAAAGTGTGTTGCACTAACGTAAAGCTTTTATTACTATCATTTTAAATATATATACAAAAAAGATTAAATAGATTGGAAAAAACTGAGAGAATATATATATATATATATATTCAACTTCCCAACTTTTCTACAAATCAACATCTGCTTTTGAAATATAATTTCGTATTAATTTTCTTTAAGATCTGATCCACTGTTTTGGTTTGTAGATGAATGCAATGGCGTACATCAACAAATGGCGTTTTGATTTGAAGTGTAATACGACCCCGTATCGGGGGGGGCAGGGTTCTAGGGGGTCCAAAACCTGACTGCCGCCAAATACCTACCCCCTACAAATTTCAACTTGGGGCCCCGAAACCTGACTTTGCAGGGGGGCCCAAATGTTCTCCTTTACGCCACTGGATGCATGATATACATTTTTTAATATATTCCGTTAGAAAACTTACGAATTTGAATTTAAAGGCTTTCAACTCTAAGAAGAAAATGTGGATTTGAGTTTCTTAAGGGACCAGGTTATTCCCCTGGCGTTTTACATTTCATTTGGAATAATGTTATCGTGTATCTTCAAGCTCGTTATACGTAAATGAACCTACAAACACAATTCGTTTTTCACCTTTTATCTATCAGTAAGCACGTAAACAAAGTCGCTGTATCACGAATGTTATAAATGAAGCATCTAAAATGCCCGTAGCCATGTCACCAGCTTGCTACAAACAACATTATCAGTAGATCGTGAACAAGAATACCTCGGGGAATGAGGCTACTGATTACGGGTTGTCGTATGTGCGAAACGATATTCTGTTTCGCATTAACAGAGGAAACCAGATTACTTGGTAAGAAAGTTGGCTTAATTTCACGACCTAATTCCTCATATAATAAACATGCTATTTCATTTATAAGTGGAAAAGAGCCTTTTTAGAAATTTCAGAAATTATTTTAAGTCATGAGTTCAACATACTAAATGTAAGTAAATTATCAATTGCATTGATGATATATTTAGGTATTTACAATGAACTGGGAATTTTTTCAGTAATTTTTTCTGTAAAAGTCTTTAGAATGTAATTTTAAGAGATTGGTGAAGTGCAACGTAAACATGACGATCAATGAATCCTGAGATTTATAAGATGTTTAAGATCCACGAGGCATACGCAGGGGCTCCACGAGTCTCAATAAAAAATCGAAAAGAAAATTATAAATTTGTATACAAAAGGGATTCATACGTTCTCTAAAAAGTTTGTATGATTAGAAGTACATAAAGCCCAACCCAGTCACTAAAATTCTCAAATATCTACTAGTGAATATTCTGTTTACAATCCAGGGTTCCATGAATTAATATTGTACTCGTTAGGATAATATTTTGCAAATTTTAATAGTTTTATAATGGTAAATATCCTTTTTTCATTTGTAGGGGGGGATGAAATACTTGTAATAAAGGAGAAGGTACAGCTTATCGACATCCCTACAGATTTGAGGTTAAAATTTAAATTTAAGCAAAAACAACTTCTAAATTTTAGGCTTCAAATTCATGCAAACACACTAGATTTCTCCCCCACAGCTATAAACATTTTAATACCATTCAGAACAATGCATTTAAGTGAAAATATTTCTCAATGAATGTCGCAACAAAATCAAAATATAAAAGTAAATTAAACGCAGAATATGAAATGCGACTGCAGAGATAATTTAAATAGACCTGGACTTTGACAGTTTGTGTAAAAAAATGCAAGTACATATCGCAGTTACTAAATATAATGAATAGGTAGGTGAAAATTGGATCACTAAATTATATTTAAGTATTTCATTAAAATTTTTAATAACAAATACAATACTTTTTTCATTTTGTCTTCACATAAAGTACCTATAACATATTTAAAATTATTTTAAGGCGTTTTCTTTTAAACGTGTTGAATGGGGCTTCCCCAAAACATCTTATAGATCTAAGGGTTCTAGGAAGCGAAAAAGTTTGAAGACCACTGTTGTAAAAGGAAAGTAAGGAAAAAACAAATAAATAAAGCATTTATTGTTTCAAATAAAAAAAGGGCATATACATAGTTTTAACAAGACATTAATCAACAAAATAATGCATCAAAACATAATCTTGATTATTTTCAACGTGTACGGTAAATTTTTTCATAAGAAAAAAATATTGAATAAAATTTTTATTATATCAGGCACGCAAGCGCGTGAACAACTTTTATTACTCTATGTTACACTTTTCTTTACATGAGGTTACAAAAAAATATTTCATTCGTTATCTAGAAAAATAATACTCAAATTAAAAAAGTTTGCAAGAATAGTTAATCCTGTGAAATGGTTGTACAAGTAAAAGTCAAGTAAACTAATCGCATTTATATTATCTCTCAATGATCTTTTAAATTATTTAAAGTAAGAGAAACTGATGCGGAAAAAAACCCCATTAATAGCTAATAGAAAGGTTTTTTATTCGACCGGTATATATAGCTACACTGGAGGAAAATCATATTACAGCAATGACTTTTCTTACACAATCAAAATATATTTTTGTAAAAATTTGAATGTAATTCACATAAACATAATATAAAAAAAAAACTTTTTTTAAGTCAATTTCTACTTAGGTCCACAACGAAAATTTTTATTTTAGTTACCTTTTATTAAATAGCTACAATTAATATAAATATGTATATACATACGACAGAATCACAATATTAAGTGACAAAATAGAAAGCGATTTTCCTTTCAATGTTCCATTTTACTTTCAATACAGGGTGTTGGACAATTTTTGTTTGTTTTTGTTACTATTTATTCATTCATTAAATTTAATTATTCTTAAAAATAGTAAAGTAAAAAGAAATCACATTCCCAGAAATTAGACCATCCCAGGTGGGACTCGAGCCCACGAAATTTGATTAGATGTCTAACGCGCTACCCATTACGCTACAGGGACACAACGAGAGATTTTACTTTTTATATAGGGTGTTGGACTATTATTTTTGTTTGTTATGAGTTATTAATTAATGAATGAATTAATAACTAAAAAACTGTATTAACATCAAGTATCATCTACTGCAAGTTTAAAAAAATGTATTTGAACTGGAATGGATGAACAGAAAGTATTTTACTAACGATTGAAAATTTGAACAAGATATATATATATATATATATATATATATATATATATATATATATAAGGAGAGTATGAACTAATAGTAGGAATTGAAAAGAGTTTATTCATTGTTTAAATATTGCAACAAATATATTAAATTCAACTAAAAGCACCACTTAAAATAAATACAATTCTTTAAATAATTATTGAAAGCTACTTACGAATCTTTTCACAATTTGCTAACTGGTCAATAGCAGAACTCTAGCACTTGCATCGAGTTTATTCATTTACTCCTATGAAAATGAATATCATATCGCAGATTCCAAGGTAATTGATTAGAAGACGGAAACGACAACCTTTTAACAAAAGACAAAAAAAAAAACCAATAAATTCTCCGCTATGGCAATCCGGCTCTGAATGCAGTCCACTTTATTATCTTATAATCACAAAAGACGAAATTTACCAAGGGGTTGTTTATTAATCCGATTCTATGCCGAAGTATCCAAGAGTCTTTTGGAGATCCCGTCTTAAATTGCCGAAATACCGCAAGTGAAATGAAAGTTGGGGATTCCAGTCGGCAATACCTAGTTAACCATGACTGATACCAATTGAAATTTCGTTGGGGGCTGAGAAGGGAAAGAAACTTCTAAGACGCTTTAAAGTAGGTTATGAGGCAAGGAGAGAGAAAAAGTCATTCTAGTTTCTACATTATTCCTTTGACTCACTTTCCACCCCACCTACATGAGACGATCCAAAAATAAATACGCTTTTCCTTTTTCCTAGATAAAATTGACCTCTTTATGGCTGAAACATTTTCACTACTAAAAGGTCCGTGAACTTGTCGGACTCAAACCGTCACTGTTGTTTTTAAAGAAGATCTGAGAAATTTTTTATTACCTTTGCGTTAGCAACGAACTTGTTTGTGGAGCCTCATATTGGATTATAATGAAATTCTCTCTCTCCATAGTCTCAAAGGCATGTTCTACTTACGGAAAGAGCTGTTCTACTTTTAATTAGAAAGTTACTTTAGTGACCAAATTTTTCAGTCTATCACGTCAGACCTTCAAGCAGAATCAAGTTCACTTGTGAGGTGACTGCAATCCCACCTAAAAGCTGGTTCTGCAACCGGATATGTTCATAAAAAAACCACAAATGAAAATATGGTTCAAGAAATTATCAATTTTCTTTACTGTAATTTTCTTTACTGTGCCATTTTTTTCTTTAAATGTGCTCAGATAGCACCTGCTTAAAAAATTCTTCATATAAAGTTCTTTAAAAACTTTAACTATTAAATATAACATACAGTCGAATCTCCATTTAAAGAATCTCTATTTTGCGAACTCTTTCCTGGAACCAAGAACATTTCACGATTTTCTTTGTAAAATAACCTCCAAATAGCAAGTGCATTATCTGTATAACGAACTTTTTACTCTTGTAATTCGACCCCCTCCCCTCTATTTTTAAACTATTTCAGAAATTTTTTCGAATTATTCCCTCTTTTAGCAAAATTTATGGGGATTAATGACCTTGAAGATGTATTACCAGGTGCCTAACTCACCTAGAGCAATGAAATTGACATAACTTTCCAAACAAAGAACTCAAATAAAAGTAACAGATTTTATCAGTAATTAAATTTAAGGACGTATGTAGTATTGTATGCTTAAAATTACTGGTTATAAAATAATATGCGCTTAAAATTACTCGTAGGCTTAAAATTAGAAAATGTCGTTAAAAAATTCATTAGTTTTACTATAAATTTTTTTTTAAAAGTTGAACATACTGAGTATTTCTGTATAATGTCCTAGTGTTCCTCGCAGATTTCTTTTTGGTCGGCAAAATATATAAAAAGAATTTTAAAAAAAAAGTTTGTAGAATTACTTTTTAAATAACACATAATGTTTACGAATTTAAAATTTGTTTTATGTGGTTTTTAAAGCATACTAAGAGATGAATCTCTATTTAATGAATTTTCCATATAACAAACTTTTTTTATGTATTTAGCGACTTCTTTAAATAGAGGTCCGACTTCAATTATATCATGTCTTTTACGAAAACTGTCAAAAATTGCTTTTGTTTTCTTAAAGAAATTGATACGCTTGAACTGGGTTTACGGATTGTATCATTTTAGTGGGCCGCTTTCTTTAATTGTATTAAAATATTGTCACAATGATTGATCATTGTTGGTTGGATCTTTAGTTTATCCCTTGATTTCAGAATGGAACTAAATTGGACATTGATGCATCAGTGATTTTAGAGTTGATCCATCTAGATTAAGGTTATCCACCGGGAAAGTTGTTACTAAGTGGCTTACAATTAATTAGTGGCAGCAAGTGAGAAGAATCTTCCTCCATCTTTTTAAACCGTGTTCAATTTTATAACATTCGAATTGTGTTCTTGGGAATAAGCGAGCCAATTGGCTTGCAAAGGCTGCAACCAAGCGCAACATTGACAATACCGTTAATATTCCTAAATCATTTCACAAGAAGATTATGAAAGAAAGTATGGTGAAGTCTTGGAACCAAGAACTCCTCATTTCAAATAAAGGGAGCTTAACAAAGAAATTCTTTCTAACCATTAATGAGAGAATAGCCTGTCATCATTTTTAAGCTAATTACAAAATAACCCAATTTATAACTGGCCATGACAATTTTAAAAGCTACTTGAACAAATTTAATTTAGTTCCGTCATCTTCTTGTGATTGTGATATTGGTGGAGAGGAAAATGTAGAACATGTGATCCTTCTGTGTTCCAAGTTTGAAAGAGAACGAAACATCCCAAGACTGGCTTTCAAGAGACTTAATATTAATTTGCCTCAGAATCTTCACCAACATATATCCACCAGAAGTGATTTTGAAAAGTTCTGTAAATTTATTGTAAATATTTGTAATCTTTCATGACTTTAATTCCTCCTCCCCTTTCCTTTGTAATATGTGTTTATATTTACATTTGTAAGCTCCGTGTGATACTTTGTGGTGCACGGGGATTTTATGATTGTTTTCAATAAAAAAAACAGTAATACAAGATATGTAGCGTCGATAGAGCGATTGGTGAACAATTTCAAAATTCCAGGAGTTTCTAGGACCCAATGTGTATTCGAATTCCTCTGTAAAGTAAATTGGAGTCTCATATATGAGAACCTTCAGATGTCTATAAGTAATCGAGGCTCGATAATTCTGACAACTGGGATGACTACTGGTCTATCCCAGCCGAAGCATTGAACTGAACTATAAAAGTGGTATTCAAGTTATTGGAGACAAAAACCGTGCATTAGAACATATCTGCCTCTTCGGCTCTTGTAAAATCTCCTAGGAAGATCATAAATAACGGCGCAAAAGTGTGTTTTCCAGCATAAGCATTAGATCGACTTACGGATTCCCTCTATTGCCTCCTACCACTAACATTGTCTGCCAACTATGTCCCTGCAATTACCGTCGGTGATTATAATTTTGAGCATTTATTGAAAAAGTTACCATAGAACTTTGCAACGATGTAGTAAGTAAACGCGAATGTGTCTTCCTATGCCACTTCATTTCTTTTGGGGCCTTTACACATCTCTTTTCCCGTATATATTTCAATACAAAAAAATACTTTTTATACTGAAAATATCACACACGCTCACAATTTAATTTTCTCCGTATTTTACGTATATAAAACAACCCACACTTATATTCTAAGAAATGTTATTTAAGTAACTCCACTCCCGCAATAGCGTTATTTAATGTTTTTTTAAATAAGTAATGCATATATTTCTGCATTGATGAATTTTTTTTCGCACAAAATTTTAGTGATTTTCACACATTGTGATGCTATAAATCCACTATTGTAATTATTCTGTAATAATAAATCCTTATACATGCACAGACATATTTAGCTAAAATTATCCATGTTCATGTGTTTACATATACGTAGAAAACTGACTCTACAATTATTGTCTCAGAGTTTCTAAATGTGACCTTTAAAATAAACATAGACAATATAGCATCATTAGATACTTATGCCAGTTAAATGTATAAATTTAAATGACAATAGTGCTGTTGTAAGAGCATTGACACATTAACATATTCGGTTTCATATCAATATACTGAATTTAAAATAACTAAATCACGAAACTCTTGAGGTCACTTTTTCCTACGATCAATGACTTCAGTGGGTTGAATCTCGTTTCAAATCCTTATTTAAATACGCATACCAATAACCCTGAAGCGTGTTTTTCTGATGTAGGTAAAAAAGATATTACTGTATTAGTACACTTATTTTTCAACAAGAACTTCCTTATTTACTACGGTCTTTGGTTATTTGTGTATACTACTGAAAAGGGTACATCGGACATTGTACTCTTAACACATCCAATCGATAAGTCACTTTCGATGACCCATCTTTAGATGGAGAAATACATTCGATTAAGTGTTAAAAATGTGGAGGATTAAAGAAACGGCGTTATTTAACTGATTATTATTTAAAACATTTTTTTTTTACAAAAATATAGGTTTCAATACAACGAGACGTTTTCCGCGGTTTCAGCATCCAGACCACAAGAACAAATATCATTGCCAATTAAATTAAACCTAGATAAAAATTGCTCCTAAAATTTCCATATCCTGTTAGAATCTGAGATAACTTAAAATTAGTAACAAACTTCTTATATTTTAACCGTTGATAAATTATCGGAAAAAAGTTTTTAGTCCACAAGGCTTTAGGTAAGGTAAAGAATTCGAAGTTCCAGGTGGAAACAGTTCTTTCCCATTTTGCAGAATGAATTAAGTTTGATTAGTGATGGTTTTTGAATTGTAACACATTAAAAATAATAAAAGTTCAAGTAAGTGGGAACTCTCATGAGAGCA